CACTTCCAGTGCCTCATCATACAGCTGACTCCTTTCCAGGGTGGAGCGACGGGCATATTTACCCGAGGCTCCCGAGTCAATCAAGCCTCTCCACGCAATTCCAACATTGTATTATGCTCCTTGAGCAAGTTTCTTCGAAACAAATACGCGTCAATCAGGACGCTTGTGCTTGGACCTCGTCCAACACAACTCGAAGCATCCGCTTCCGTCGGGACCACGTCCCCAACATTACGAGGCACATCTGCCTCCTGCTCCCGCTGCGAGCACCGATTCTCATACTTGAGATGGATGTTCAGCCTCTGGTCAGAGCCTGAGCTCAGCTACCGACCTGTAGACACCCCGCACTATTGGAAGCGCTTAGCGCTTGGCGACGCAGTCGCGAGCCCATGGGACTTATTGGCAGTGGGTGTGCCAGGTCATAGGCTCAGGGTAGTCCTCACGGAGGGGCACCTCGAACTCCCATGAGTTCTGTGAATGTGGATATCCTCTCCACTTCACTAAGTACTGGGTACGACCCCGGCGACGACGCCGCGCCACAAGGCGTTCCACATGATAGTGGGGCTCACCGTGCTCGTCGAGCAGAGCTGGAGGAGGCCGTGCCTCAGCTGGATTCCCGCGCTGCGAATCAGCACTCGCCGGAACGGCATCTGCGTCCTCACGACGCATGCGTCTCTGACGCAAACGACCACGTTCATCACGAAGCGGTCGGTCTCGAAGAAATGTTCCACCCCGTAATATATTAATACTCCCTCTTGTTGATTCACAACCAGGTCCCGGACTTTGAGCTCTAAGTTGCTCAGCTGTATCTTCAGCTTGATTTGCTCCTGCATCTCGAGCATTTCGCTCCGCGATCCGTGGCTTCGCCACATGCTGTTGACCAACTCCCCGTGGTTCCACCACTTGCTGTCCCGCAGCCGCACGCGGCCTAGCCGCTCTCTGCCGATTCGGCACCAGTGACTCGGCGCTCACACGAGCCGGGTCCTGGTACGGCTTGAGCAAGCCAACGTAAAACACCGGGTGGGTGCGCATCTTCTTTGGAAGATTAAGCGTGTACGCTAGGCCCTTCCTGGCCACGACCTTGAACGGTCCAATGAACCTAGGTCTCAACTTGGCCTTAAAGA